CCTTGTTGTTTTGTATCGATTTTTATGTATGAATTCAATTTTCGTATGCTCACTGACGTTATTCACGTTACGCAACGAGAGAAAGCAGCTGATGAGCACTCTCTAAATTAATGGATCCAATAAATTTTGCTGTTCATACAATCTTCAAAACTGCACCAGGGAAAAGAAGCTTTAAATCCCATAAATGTAAACTCAGGACTCCACCTCTGTGTTAAGCGTTCAAGCAAGAACAATCCGTACGCAGTAGGTGGTAGAAAATCCCCTTACTTTTGTTCTTTTGGAATATACAAGTTGCAGCCGAAAAACCGACCATTTCCCGTGCCGAAGCCCAAATTCCCTAGCTGCCGTTTTGTGGTTTCAGCGGCTAGTTTTGCGCAGGTCAGGACGAGGAGCAGACACACCAGTTGTTTACTTTATAAACGTTTCCCTCAACCTTCTTTCTTCTCAGTGGCCTGTCTTTGCCTTCTGCCTGTAATGTGCAAATTACACCTGCCCCGTTTGTTCAGTATGCACTTCGGTACTGCTTAACTGATCAAAGAACTCTAGGTAATCGCGGCATATACTCCATAATACTCCATGTAAGGAACAGGTAATATGAGGGAAGGATAATATATTTGCCTGCTCTAGTTGCCGTTGTCACCGAGTATTTTTTTACGTGATGTCGCTAAATTGATTTTATCAGTGCCATACCTACGCCAGTACGAGTAGGATTTAATTGCACGCCAACTGGATTGAGTTACTCTCCACTTCAAAGTGTAGTTTTGCTAGGCATGGCTACTGAAATTATTGATGGAATTTAGAAGAACCCGCTTATTCACACCACATCCACGTTGGATGCTAAATTGGAATGTTGTTCCGGTCTTAGATCGATACAAGACCATAGCGAACAATCATTTTGCACGACGTTGGCCTTGTAGCCTGTATGTATAAATGCATTTTCTCCGATTTAAAGGATGAAAACCAAAATCTTGTGCTCACCTCGGACGAAAGACCTCTAAAAGCACCTTTAAGAGAGATCTCTCGATCAGAATGCGACCTCAGAAATATATCGATAAATCCCAGCTCGTGCAAATGTCCCGATAAAGCGCCCCCAGTGGCACCTTCAATGGAGTTTACTACGCAAACCGACTTGATTGATCTTCGAGAAAAATTGAAAAAGGTATGCTACACAGCCTGAAAAAAGATTCTGTTTTATCTTGCTTAATCTATCTATACGACTGCTCGTGTCGTTTTTATAACTGTTAGTCCCCAAGTACGCCATTTACAATCGTATAAATATTAAATCACGGGCTTGATATTAGCAACTGTGTATTCATTATAAGAAATCTTAGGTCCCCTCTCGCAGTCTATGACGCGAGAGACTGTTTTACGTGTGTGTGTGTGTGTGTTCGACCATCGATTTTGATGAAGTCCATCAAGTGCACCAAC